AACAGGAAGGTCCTAGCGGAACCGCTCGCAGAGCTTGAGACGGACTGCGCGGATCCAAGGGATCAAGACATCAGGGACCTCACCCTTGTTGCGCAAGGGGAAGGCCGTGGTGTAACGTGTGTAGTCGTCAACAACCAGCAGAAAGTAGCGCTCGCGGCCTTGTCCACTGACGCGGGCTGGGCCCCATACGTCCATGTGGAGTGTCTGCAGGGGATCAGTCGTCGGGGGAAACAAAGAGGAGTGAGGAGCGGCGCGCTGCCGCCCCTTGACGCAAGGAAGGCAGGGCGGGGCAGGCGAGGGCAGGAGGGGAGGCAGAGACTTGGGAAGACCAGAAACAAGGAGGCGGGAGTGCATGCCACGGAGGTGTGGTAGGGAGGGATGACCAAGGCAGTGGTGCCAAAGGAGAGTCTGGTGCGACAAGAGGCGACTCGAACAGGGGGCGGCTACCTGACTTGTCGCGGACACCTAGCCAGAAGCAGCTACCTGAGCAGGCTCATTAGTCAGTGTGTACAGACTCGACCTAGGCCGACGAGTGAACGTGGCCAGGTGACGGCCCGTCCGTGTACACGTGCAGATCGCCACACGCTGACCCCCAGTTCTCGTGGTAGTGACCATCGCATCCCGGAGGGCAGCGGTACTCACCAAGTTTGTAGATAACGAGGGGAGGTGAAGACCTGACAGTGAGCCAGACGGAACCGCCGGACACGGGAGAACAGTGGTGGAACGTGCAAGAACTGGACCCTAAGGGGTCAGCCTGTCTGACTGGAACAGGTGCAGGGAGTGGAGTGAGTGTGGTACTGTCGCGAAAGAAACAGCGGGAAGCACCTGAGTCAAGTGTCAAGGTGTGCAAGGCCTCAGCAGGCACAGTACCAGGGAGAGCAGACTCACTAGCACCTAGAGCAGCAGCCTCTATACGAAACTGCTGGGGCGTAGGGGTCTCGCTAGGACGCTGCTGCTGCTGCCTCTGGCCACCGCCAGAACCTCCCCTCTGAACAGCTCCACCCCGAGCGTCACCACTGCCGCCACCACCGCCACCACCACTCCCACCGCTGCCACCACCGCCGCCATTGACGCCCCCACTCCCGCAACCACTCCCACCGCCACCTCCACCACCTCCACCGCCTCCACCACCACCACCCCCGCTACCACCTCCACCACTCTTTCCTCCCTTGCCCTTGCTGCTGCGGCGCTTCCCACTAGGAGCAGAAGCAGCCCCGACGTCCTTAGTACCAAGGATGTCAACAGCAGCAGCAGAAGCGTAGGAGGGGGCAAGGGGGGAGGGGGGACACCCCTCAAAGAAGGGTGTGCGAGGAGTGCCATGAGCAGCACCTACAGCGACTACGCTAGTCTCAGCTGCAAGGAGGTGCTTCTCGAGCAAGTCGACAGTGAGGTCTGTGGGGTCAAGTGCGAGAAAGTGGTCCCTAACTGCGCGAAGAGAGTCAGGGAGGTGGGTGACTATGAAATAGAGAGTGATGTACATCGGGGGTGGGTTCTTGTCTAGGAACTTGGCTTTGAGGGCAGCACGGTAGCGATTGTCGCTAGTGCGAAGGTGGGTTATGAGGTCCTCGACTGTGGCAAAGGCTGACAGCTCGGGAAAAAGGTAGGGCAATAGAAGGCGGCCGAGAGCTGCAGTGGCAGGGGAGGAGTAACGAGCGACTATAGTGTCGTACAGGGCTTTAGCAGTCTTATGCTGGCCAAAGTGAGCGCGTTCGGCTAACGGCAGGTGGTTGCGAACGGCTAAGCGAGCAGCAGCGTCACGGGTAAGCCACTGTGAGCGAGTCGCACTGTCAGCTGTGTCGGGAGGGGCAAGAGAGGCTACAGACGTGTGGTCAAACAACGAAATGCTGTCTCTAGAATCGCTGAGTAGGTACAGCTATAAGTCATCTAGCCACGTATCGAACTGGATCGGACGGCCTTCAGGATCGAATGTGAGATCGCTGAGAGTAGCCATAGCGGGCAGATCAGGGTGGCGCTTGACGAGCAGGGCGGGGCGCGTGCACTAGGAAAACGCTCAGGGCAGGGCAGGGCGGCGCGTAGGGCAGGGCAGGGCGGCGCGTAGGGCAGGGCAGGGCAGCACAGCGGCCAGCAGGGCGGCGCGCGGGCAGGGCAGGGCAGCGCGCGGGCAGGAAATGGCGGTGCGCAGCTAGCAGGGCGGCGCGCGGGCAGGCTGCAGGGCGGCGCGCGGGCAGGCTGCAGGGCAGCGCGCGGGCAGAGTAGGGCGACGCGCGGGCAGGAAAGGGGCGGCGCGCGGCCAGCAGGGCGGCGCGCGGCCAGCAGGGTGGCGCGCGGGCTGCAAAGGGCGGCGCGCGGGCTGCCAAGGGCGGCGCGCGGGCTGCAAAGGGCGGCGCAGCGGCCAGCAGGGCAGGGCGGCGCGGGCAGGGCAGGGCGGCGCGGCAGTTAGCAGGGCGGCGCGCGGCCAGTAGGGCGGCGCGACGGGCAGGGCAGGGTAGCGCGACGGGCAGGGTAGGGCGCTACGAGCAGGGTAACGCACTACGGGCAGGGAACTATTCGGTGGGGCCTAAAAAAAACGGTCCTGGAACAGGAACCACTCTGAAACCATGTCAGAATACTGAACGAGAATGAAAGCATTGGCAAGAAACTGAGTACAAGTACTAACCCTAATTGGGTTGTACCCCTTATGGGCTATACCCCACTACAGCGTACACAATATAAACATTAGAACACTTTGACTAAGTACTGAGCAAATAATGAAGCCTAGCACTAATATAGCAACTGCTAGCTAGGCCGAGGTCGCGGGACCGCGAATGGCTGGGTGCAGGTTCGGGGTTGGAAAACCGATGGTGGTTCGGAGGTCGAGGTTGTCGAACCGAGCCTGAAGTCCGAAAGTTGGGGTCTGTACGCGTACAGTGCGACTCGGCAAGGAATTAGGGGAAAATCCTTACACATACGGTACCAGTAACCAGCATTTCCCCCTAGGATTTTGACATCCATTGCTAACAGCTCCACTAAATTGCAACTATCGTAGGCTCTACCACAATTATATCATCCTATTAAATAACACTGCTCTAGGCTTCGAAACCTAATTTCTACGTGATCCCTGAACATTTGAGGGATCAGATCAGAGCACCAGCAGACGGTATTTCCCACGACGGTATCATTCTAAGTGCCAAGAGAGCGCCACCTTCCAATCCAACCAGCCGATCCCCATATCATCCTGATTTTTTAGGCGCCTAAAAAAATATCAACTGTCAAGATACGGTAGCGCCACCTTCCAACCCGATCCTACCATCATCCTGAGGGTCAAGACAGCGCCATGGACTTGCTCAAGGCAGAGAGAATGGAGGCCATGAGAGTGGTGCATTTGAGGGGTACCAGCAGCTCCATATCCCATTATCATCCCATCCCACTATCATCGCAATATGATCCCACTACCATCATCCTCAGGGTCGAGACAGTGCCACGGACTTGCGCAGGGCCGAGAGCATGGAGGCCATGAGAGCAGGCTCGCCTGGCGGCGTGATCTGGCAGTGAGGGCCGGAGCGCACGGCACGGAACATGGCAGGGGCGTCTGCCGAGGGGGGCTCCACTGTTACTTGGATGTCCACGGGCTTTGTGGTGTCACCATCAGTTACTTGTAGGGTCAGCTGCACGCCTCCAGGTATCTTGTCCACCTGCCATGTGCACTCAGTGAGAGAGAGAGAGAGAGAGAGAGAGAGAGAGAGAGAGAGAGAGAGAGAGAGAGAGAGAGAGAGAGAGAGAGGGAGAAGGGCACTCGGTGACACGGGGGGGCTGGGTGGCAGCGGAGGAAGAATCCAGGGGTGTGGTGCGGGTATGGAGAGGAATACAAGGTTTGGGAGGCGTTAGGGGGGTCGGGGAAGTGGTGGGGGTCCCAGGGAAGGTACGAGGAAGCTGCGGGATGATGAAGGGGAAAGGAGAGGCCCTTTGATAGGGGAGGAACACAGGCTGGGTGGTTTATGGATCTCTCAGGGACTTGTGCTGCTGTGGAACGGGCTGCTCTGAGTGCTAGGTGATCGGTGTGCTTCAGCTTCTTTGGGCTTGCCCTGTTGCTTGTTAGTTCTGGTTTCCTGGTTGCTTCCATGCTTAGTCTCGCTAGTTACCACCACTTGCCATGCCTGTACCTTTGTGACCCATATCAATACATGACTGCTTGAGAGAGAGAGAGAGAGAGAGAGAGAGAGAGAGAGAGAGAGAGAGAGAGAGAGAGAGAGAGAGAGAGAGAGGGAGAGAGAGGGAGAGAGAGGGAGAGAGAGGGAGAGAGGGAGAGAGGGAGAGAGAGAGAGAGAGGGAGAGAGAGGGAGAGAGGGAGAGAGAGAGGGAGAGAGGGAGAGAGAGAGAGAGAGAGAGAGAGAGAGTGAGAGAGTGAGAGAGAGAGAGAGAGACCATGCGCGCACGCACGAATGCGCACATAGGCACACACACACACACACATACACACACACACACATACACACACACACACACACACACAGCCACTCACGAACTCCATCGCACCTCCACTCACACATCACCATGCATCCAACCACACCTACACAAACCTCCCTCACACACCCCCACACACTTCCACACCGTGGCACCCACCCACAAACCCGCACCCACACACCAACCCACCCACACACAGATCCACCCACACACCTCACACACCCGAACACGCGCTCGCACACACACTCATACACTCGCCCACACGCAAACACATGTGCAACCACACACTCCCAGACACACACTCACCCACAAACCAGCACCGCACACACCCACCCACAAACGCAGTCAGACACACACCCGTACTCACAACCACACTCGCACACCCAACCACATCCCCACCTTTGCACACACCAAAACCCACACCCACACCCACATTCACACACCCTCACTCCTATCCCAACACACCCACCACCCACACTCACACACCTCCACACACACATCCTCACCCACTCAGCCACCCAGACACACACGCAAACGCGCAAACGGACACATCCTCACCCGCACCCAACAGAAACGCATCCACACACACATAGATCAAATCAACCTCGGATGCGGGAGAACGAAGGACAGACAATGGCAGGAGCACGCAGCATGTTACACGGCAGAAGGCAAAACTGGGTGGTATTGAGGTGGAGAAGAGGTGGAGGAGAAATGGAGAGGTGGAGAGGAGGGGAGGTGGAGAGGTGGAGTTGAAATGGAGAGGTGGAGAGGAGGGGAGGTGGAGAGTCAAGAAGAAGTGGAGAGCTGGAGAGGAAGAGAGATGGAGAAGAAGAGAGGAGGAGAGGTGGAGAGGTGGAGATGTGGAGAGGTGGAGAAGAAGAGAGGAGGAGAGGTGGAGAGGTGGAGAGGTGGAGAGGAGGCGAGGAGGAGAGGAGGAGAGGTGAAAAGGAGGAGAGGTGAAGAGGTGAGCATACCTTGAGAGGAGACTGCAGAGGCAGATTGGCGTCCTGTGTGAGAGATGTGGCCCACTGCACACAGGGCAACAAGCACAGTGTAGCATGGTAGGACGGCAAGCACAGTGTGCATGGCACAGTGAGAAGGGGGGGAGTGGGGAGGGAAGGGGGTGAGGGGGTGTGAGAGATTAGGCCAGCAAGGGCGAGAAGGGACGGGGCGAGGAGAGGGGAGGGCCGGTGCGAAGGAAAGAGAGTGACGAGACGAGCAGGAGATAGAGGGGCAAGTGTGCACGTGAGAAACGGATGTGAGTGAGGGGACACAAGAGGTTAGGGAGAGGCAACGCGGGTCGAACGCATTAGAAATGTACGGGAGGGGGAGAGGAAGATAAGCAGAAATAAGGGCTGGCAACTGCATTATGTTGGAAAGAGAAATTAGACACTTACTTTTTCTATGTATTAACGTCAAAAGAACTAGCAACTGCATTATGTTCCCTCACCTCTTGTTTGCAATCCCTATCCTCTACTCTCCTAACTTCACTCCTTCTCACGTCCGTCTCCCCAATCTCCCAACTCTTGTTCCCTCCATCCCTCCCTCCCCCTGACTACTCTGCTCTCTGCCTCCCCTCCTCCCCTTACAGCACCCCCGACCCACCCACCCGGCCAGGACAGGCGTCTGCCATGCGCGTGATGTGAGCAGTGTGCTGCACTGCACTGCACTGCACTGCACTGCACTGCACTGCACTGCACTGCACTGCACTGCACTGCACAGCACTGCACAGCACTGCAGTGGACAGTGGACGGTGGACGGTGGACGGTGGACCTCGCAGGTTTGAGGTGGTGCCTCATAACGTTTCTCACTTTGTAGGTGGCTCGAAACTTGTCTCGTTTTTTAGGCGGCGCCCCACAACGCGTACCAATTCTTAGGCGCCTCAAAGCTCACTGTGCTGTGCTGCACTGCACCCTGGCACCATGCATGCACCGCGTGGACGACGGTGGACCTCACAGGTTTGATTTGAGACGAGGTGCCTCGAAACTCCGGCACGGCAAAATGCAGGACCCGGGTACGGCACGGCAGCATGCACCGCCTGGACAACGGGGGCCTCATAGATCCCACCCCCCCACCCCATCAGCCACGCCACGCCTCCCCACTTTTGAGTCAACTCAAAAGCTGCACCCCAACAGCATGCACCGCCTGCCTGGAGAGTGGACCTCCTCCTCACGTTTGCCCCCATCGGCCACGCCTCCTCGCACGGACGGACCCTCCGTGCTTCGGCCCTGACGCTCGCCCCCTTCCCCACCCATCCAGCTGGTAGCATTGGTGCTCGTCTCCCCTCCCCTGGTGCGCCACTAGCTAGTCAATGACAACCCCACCCCTGGTGCCCGTGCTGGCGACATTGGTGCTCCCATGAGTCTCTGCATCATGTTGGAGTCACTTTTAAGAATGCTCAAAAGTAACGATATGTGTCTCTGCGTCATGCCTCGCGTGTCGGCTCCTCCTTGTGTCGCTGCAGCGCTGCTACGCACGCGATGCGAGCAAGCAAGCAAGAGAGCAAGCAGACAGTCCCGACAACCGGTGCAGTGCTGCTTGTGCTGCTGCAGGATAGCAGCAGCCACGTGACCCGACTCGCGACTGGTAGGGCACACAAGCCCACGCATTATCGCACTCACCCAAGTGCGCACTGCGCGACACCACGTGGGAAGCTCAAGGTCAAGGCCAACCACAGGTGGTCATGAAACCGGGGAAACAGTCTAGGTTAAACTGCACTGCAGGACCAAGCACAGTCCAATTGCAGGTGCATTGCCGTCATCCCGCCTCCACCCATTCTCTCTGGTATCCACCCCACCCCGCGACTCTTGCACAGCCTCACCTGCCTATTTTCAAGGACCCACCTTCAATGCACCTTCGCATGCATTGCCGTCATCCTGCCCTGCCCTGTCTGGATTCTCCTTGGTAAACACCCCACCTGCGCCATCATCACCACACCACACCTGTAATGCCTGCAAGGCAGTAGCTTCGCCTCTGAGCAACCAGTGTTTAAGCCCAGTGGTCTACCAGGGCGGTATACCTCCACCATCATTCGTTAACCTGTGCCGCTCTCACCTGCGCCGCTCTCACCTGCGCCGCTCTCACCTGTGCCGCTCTCACCTGCGCCGCTCTCACGTGCGCCGCTCTCACCTGCGCCGCTCTCACCTGCGCCATTCTCACCTGCGCCATTCCCACCCGCGCCATTCTCACCTGCGCCATTCTCACCTGCGCCATTCTCACCTGCGCCATTCCCACCTGCGCCATTCCCACCTGCGCCATTCCCACCTGCGCCATTCCCACCTGCGCCATTCCCACCTGCGCCATCATCGTTTCCAGCGCCGCCAGATCGCAGTCGGCCGGCAGCACCGCCGTCCCCAGCGATACCGTTTTCCGCTCCCCAGCGCCGTCCCCAACCGCCTCCGACTCCGCCGCCGCGCGGCAAGGCGGAACCTTTTCGCCCACGCGCGGGCGGAGGGCGGGTGTGCGCGCGGCGAGAGACGTGCGGGCGACGGCGGAGCGGGGCGCGGCGCAACAGGGGCGACAGAGGCCATTGGCGCGCGGGGAGGGCAAGAGGAGCGGGAGGGGTACTAAGGAGTGGAGAGGAGGCGGGGAACGGTGCAGCAAAGCGGGCGAGGGGGTTCGCGGGAGGAGAGAGGCGAGGGACGCCATGAGTCGCGATGGATGCGCGATGGAGGCACCAAGTGGAATGGTCCCACTTAGTCTGTCTAATTCGTTAACTGCCCGTTAGAAAGTTTATGAAGCTTTCACTTCTGAGATAGCCGGGTTCCGCTTTGTAGCGAAGATGATTACACTTAAAAGCCGCATCACATATTTCTTATTTCACATACACGAAACAAGCTTGTCAAACCAGGAAAATGTGGAGCTTGTAAAACCAGGAAAATCTTATGCCAAGCCGCATCACATTTCTTATTTCACATACACGAAACCGCATCACATATTTTCCAAACATGGAAATCTAGGGTTTTCTATCAGGAGGGGAGCCTACACGTGCAACTTGTATTGGGCGAGCATTGTTGCCAAGATGCAATAGAGAAAAGTCCATTAAACAACATTGCACCATGTTGGACCTTGTTAACCACCTCTTTTATACCAATTTAAACAACTTACGTTACTTTGAACGGAATGCAGTAGGCAATGGGTTGTACAAAACGCGTTCTGCTTCAAAGGATGCTCTTGGGACGCTTGAACCAGCTCGGAGGCTTCAGCTAGAACACAAATGCCAAGCACCAACGCCAAGCACGGAGAGCAATGGTGGACTCACATAAACATCTTTCGGCACGGAGGGTTCATACTAAATGAACAGAACAGAACGGTTTATTACAAATTGAAGGAAAGCTCTTACAAGGCTTGCAACAGTTTGACAACGCTTTGCCTGGGCCATTCCACTTTTAAACAAATGCTCGAATCAGGCTTGAGCCCGCTCGTCACTATGGACAGAGGCTTCAGCCAGCACTGAAACAATTTACACGGCGACACTCAGTCGTCGGCGGTATGGAGAACCGCAAAGCGCACTCCCTGGTAAGTTACACGCCATTGGCGAAAATGGCGAAGTCATTTTTCGAGTCGCGGTCATCTAAGCGCGTTCGCCGCGGATTCGTCTGGCGAGCTGGATGTCCTTGGGCATGATGGTGACGCGCTTGGCGTGAATAGCGCAGAGGTTCGTGTCCTCGAAGAGCCCCACGAGGTACGCCTCCGCCGCCTCCTGCAGCGCCATCACGGCGGAGCTCTGGAAGCGCAGGTCCGTCTTGAAGTCCTGCGCGATTTCGCGCACCAGGCGCTGGAAGGGCAGCTTGCGGATGAGTAGCTCCGTCGACTTCTGGTACTTGCGGATCTCGCGCAGCGCCACCGTGCCCGGGCGGTACCGGTGAGGCTTCTTCACGCCGCCCGTGGCGGGCGCCGACTTCCTTGCGGCCTTCGTGGCCAGTTGCTTGCGCGGCGCCTTGCCGCCGGTGGATTTGCGGGCCGTTTGCTTTGTGCGAGCCATGAGGGCAGCTTCAGAGAACAAATGCTTGGAGATGGGAGCTGAGGCCTAGTGGGAAAACACCAGCGAGCGAGAAGAGATGAACAAAAGGTCAGCAACGAACTGAGGACATTGATAATGGTGGAAGCGAGAGCCTTTTTGTGCTCGAGTCGAGACAATCCTCTCCTTCCTGCGCCAGCCAACACCAAGTCTGGCCTCGGGATTCGGCTCGGGTAGCTCAGGCATTGGTTTGGGGAGAGTGAAGTCGGTTTGGTTTCAAAACTCGAAACCAACCAACCAAACGTTCGGCGCAACTCACTCGTGGCCGTAAAGATGAACGGTTATTAGGCAATCACTCATTGCATCACTCCGATTGGTCAGTTTACAACACAGAGGTTCGTCAACTTTTATCACGCTGAAGCCCAAATGAATGAGAGGTGCAGCTCGGTCGATCGACCCTAAAAGAAAATGTTTTCAACATGTTTCTTGGAAGTCAAATTATCAAACCGCGTGTAAGGAAAATTCATTTCCTTACTTCGCGTCCCTGCTCAGCGCGTACACCACTGTTCCCGCCAACAGCACCCCACATTAATCCGTTACCACTCGCGGCATTCGCCTCGACACCATTCCCGCCACTGTTCACGATGCGACCCAACCTCACGGTTCGGTTGGTAACCTGCGCTCCGGACCTCCGCCTCGACATTCCCCAACCTCGTCACCAGGCCCGTCGCGCACCCCATTTTCCCACACGTTACCGTTACCATTGTAGCTTCGCTATATATTCTTCGCTCAATCCTTCGCTCATTGTATCTTGTCTCGTAAGTGCAATCCTCGCTCGCTCACTACACTTAACGAGGTTATTGTCCTTATGCATTCGAAATGTACGATAACTTGCACCCAATTGGGGCCTAAACAAGTTTTGTCATAAACATATTGCATACAGGGTTCGCGATTGACTGTTACGAGTTTGTGTAGGCTACCTATAGCCCCAAAAAAACCTCATGCTCTAACGAGTCAGCTCTTCCCTCTCGACACCCCACACGGACAAATCTTTCCGAAATGTCCTGAGCCTTATTTCGTGCGCTGTTAGATCTAGACTAGTTAGGTACAGAGGAGATTACGGGCGGATACTACGATCTACGACTAGCGCTAACACCCCCGCAGCATGAAGCGGCTTAGCGAGGAGAAACAGAAGCGTATCATGCAGCGAATTGCGGAGGGGCGTAGTTACCGCCAAATCGCGCAGGAGTTGGGAGTTTCAAAGTCTGCCGTCCATGACGAGCTCCTCCGCCACCGCGGTCCGAAAACGTTCGACGAGCTAGTGCCGTCCCCGGCGAAACCTGGTCGGCCGCGCAAGTTACCAAAGCAAATCGCGAGGATAGTTGTAAGGTCGATAGTGTCTGGTGAATCGAAATCCGCCGAGGCCGCAGCGGGAATGATATCCTCTACGCACGGCATCAGTGTCACGGGCGCCACCGTGCGAAACACTCTCAAGCGGCACAGAGTTAAGGCGATAGAAAAGCCGTCGAAGCCTAGATTATCCGCGAAAAATGTCAAGGACCGCATGCAGTGGGCCAAGGACCATCAGCACTGGACGATCGACGACTGGAAAAGCGTGGTTTGGAGCGACGAAACGAAGATCTGCCGGTTTAGTAGCGACGGCCGTAGTTGGGCCTGGATTAGGGAGGACTGTCACATGGAGCCGCACCATGTGAAACAGACCGTCAAACATGGCGGCGGCTCCATCATGATTTGGGGGTGCATGACATACAACGGCGCGGGTTTCATGTGCAAGATAGAGGGAAGAATGAACGGCGAGTTGTACCGTTCAATCCTGCAAGACGAGCTGCAGCAGACTATTGAGCATTACGAGTTGGATCCCGAGACCGTTGTGTTCCAGCATGACAATGACCCGAAGCATACATGCAAGATGGTCTAAACTTACCTTGCCGAGCACCCGTACTCTGTGCTCCCATGGCCAGCATCTAGTCCGGACCTCAACCCCATAGAACATCTGTGGGTTTACTTGAAGAAGCAGCTGCTTGCTTACCCCTGCCCCCCTGCAGGCATTCTCGAGCTATGGGACAGAGTACAAGTGGAATGGGAGAAAATCCCTGCGGCTTGGTGCAGTGAGCTTATCGAAAGCATGCCTAGGCGTGTGCGGGCTGTGCTCAAGGCCAAGGGTCGCTGGACCAAGTACTAGATTCTGCTTGGTTTGCATGTGTGGCTGTAATTGTAAAAAACTGTCCTTATGCTAGTATTTGCCTATTTCTATATTCACTGATTGTTTAACCTAGTTCATGACCAACATGCTGCGTGTTTAGATGTACAACCCTTCGGGCTTTAACCTCATGTGGTCCAATTATTAAGGCTTAATCACCATGGCCACTAATGCCCGTTCATGTCTTGAAACATGAACATGTGGACAATTATTTCGCTTAGTGTACATTGCACTCGTAACACTTGGTTATCAGAGCCTAATATCTTCTCTCGGACCGCACCCACACCTTCGCTTCCCCACTATCTCATTTTTTGGGGGGGGGTAGACGTCTCTGTCAAAGTAACGAACGCGAATGAATGAACTAGCAAAGACTTGGGTACAAGTACTAACTTGGGTTGTACCCCTTATGGGCTACCCCACTATAGCCTACACAATACAAGCTATATATCATTTTGACACACCCCCATAGGCAAAGTGGGGGAGAACAAGTGGTAACAAGACCAGTCAAGCAAAACAAAGCAAGCTCAGGGTGGATCACAAAGTCACCACACAGTCCGAGCATAAGCAAAGGGCCACAAGACCAATTCACATGAAGAGTTATATAAAAGAGAGAAAACAATACAATGATCATACCCTAGCAAGTGCAACCATGCATGTATATATATAGATCACAGTACAAGCAAAGTCACGCAGTAAGCAAGTGAGGCAAAGTAGACACAAGTCCTAACACAGTAGAGAAGCGCTGATGATCACCAGGCGGAAGTGCCTTGGTGAATATATCAGCAGTGTTGGCCCTAGTGGCCACGTACGCAAGACGAAGCTGGCCACGCTGCTGCAACTCTCGAGAAAGGAAGTATCGCAGAGCGATGTGCTCCAGTCTGTGCTCCTGACACAAGGCAATCATGGCCTTGTTGTCTACGTACAGAACTGGAGGCGAACGAGGCTGCTCTCCCAAGTCAGTCAGCAGGTAGGTGAGCAAGCGTAGCTCCTGTGCAGCCATGGCCCATGCGTAGATCTCAGCCTCACAACTGGAGCTGAGAACCGAAGATGAGCGGGTAGACCGTCAGGAAACAGAGCCGGAACCAAGGCTGAAGGTGTAACCCTGTGATGACCACTGTGTAGCTGAGTCGTCAACCCAAGAAGCGTCTGAGTGACCAGTGAGGACAACTGGACCCCGTCCTCCAAGCACGAGACCCATGCCCGACGTACTGCACAAGTAGCGCAGTACCTTCATCGCAGCATCCCAGTGCACCTTTCGGTGCCTACCGGGAGCCACGTAGCGAGCCAGAAGGCTGAGAGGGTACGCGAAGTCAGGTCGTGTGCACGTCATCAGGTACATGAGGCAACCCACAAGCTCTGGGTACGGACCACTCGGCTCTACGGACTCGTGTGGAGGTGGAGTTGAGAGCGAGTGGCTGGTAGACAGAGGAGTGGGCTGTGGCGAGGAGAACTGGAAACCGAAGAGCTGAAGGACGTGGTGCACCATGTGTGACTGAGTCAGGGTGATGGTGCGCCGCGCTCTATCCTGGGTGATCTGCAAGCCAAGATAGCTGCGCAGTTCACCCAGGTTAGTGCAGGTGTGTCTCTTCTGTAGCTCTGACTTCACAAGGGTCAGTGCCTCAGTGTCAGCAGTGGCAAAGACGAGGTCGTCAACGTACACGAGGACGTAGAACGGCGGCAGCGAGGTGTCGGTGCGTAGAAACAGCGACGGGTCAGCAGTAGAAGGAGTAAACCCCAGAGCCGCAAGTGTAGTCCTCAGTGTGTCGTGCCACTCGCGAGGTGCCTGGCGGAGACCGTAGACTGGCCACCGGAGGCTCCACTGAGTACCTGCAGGAAACGACTCAGTGAAGCCAGGTGGGCGGCGCAGCCAGATCTCCTCGTGAAGGCTGCCCTGCAGGAAAGCTGTGCTGAAGTCCAGAGAGTGCAACTCGTAGTCACGCTGAGCAGCGACGTGCAGCAACACACGAAAAGTAGTCATCTTCGGGGTGGGGGAGAAGGTCTGGAAGTAGTCAACCCCTTGTCGTTGACTGAAGCCTCGAGCAACGTAACGTGCCTTGAAGGCAGGCGGAGAACCCGGCGGCCGCTTCACCCTGAAAATCCACATGCCATCGACTATGTTCGCCCCAGGGGGGGGAACTGCGTCGACGTAGGTGCCTGTGGACTTCCAGGATGCCATCTCAGCATCCATGGCTGCCTGCCACTGAGAGGATTAAGGACCCGTAATCGCCTCTGCGTAAGAGCGCGGGGTCGGGATGTCTAGTGCATCCGGGTCTCCCTCAGGGGCAAGCAGCATGGAAGCGAAACGAGGTACAGCAGCTGCAAGACACTCAAAGTCCTCCTGCTTGTCCTCAAGGACGTCCGTGCCAAGAGCACATTCACCCCCGACGGATGGAGGACTAGCAGACGCAGACTCAGCAATAAGAGCAGTGGCGTAGTCTAGACGATAGGCAGCAGCAAAGTCAAGCAGCTCAGCAACGAGAGCAGACGCAGCAGCAGACTCAAAGGATGGGTTAGTGATAGGAGTGGCGAGGAGACGAGCAACAGTGGGACTGGCAGCACGAGCGCGGTCAGACTCAGGGTCAGGGATCTCAGGAAGAGAGGACCCAAGAGGAGGCGATAGAGGAACACGCAGTGGAACAGAGGAAGGACGGAGTGCCATAGTGTGCGTGCCAGGGACTGGAGGAGGACGCGAACGAGGAACGCGGCGAGCAGTGCAAACAGGAGGGACAGGACGAGACACAGGCTCACGACGCTCCGTAAGACCGCCGGACTGCTCAGTGTAAGGAGAGGGAGCAGGCAGTGGAGAGGCCGGCTGCAACGGCAGCTGCGACTGGTCAGGCGGTGGACACAGGAGGGGAGGAGTAAGGCCAGTAGAGGACGGAACACCAAGAACCTGCTGAAGCAGGGGAACGAAGTACGGTCGCAGCCGCACAGTGCCTCCAGCACCTCCAGCTCCAGGGTCAACAGCTCCAGCTCCTGGAGCTCCAGCGCCTCCAGCAACAGTGCCACCAGCGCCAGTGCCTAC